TCTTGGGGTGCGGACGGGCGGTGGAAGCTGGGAGGGCAGGTCCCGTCCTTGCTGGGAGCTCCGCAGGGAGCGGTCCTGCGCGGCGGGGTGCACTGGCGCATCCCTCTGAGGCCTGGAAAATGGTGTGCTGCAAGAGAGGCTTTGCATGTCACCTTTGCAGCTGCTGCAGTCATGTAACTATGTACTTAATGATGCCAGTGGCTCAGCCAGGTCTCAGGCAGGAGTTAGGTACCTGTACTGGGCAGGGGACACTTGCTGGGCAGCCAGGCCATGTTTCTTTGGAGGAGATCCCCCTTCAGGACAGGGGAAACTGGCTGAGAGCTTCAGACCAGGAAGAAGATGGACACCATCAGATCAGGATGAGAGTGAGGAGCAGTGGAAGGGTGACTGCTTCTCCTTGATGGGTAGAGGATGTAGCATAACCCGCTGGGTGCCATGTCAGGTAGAGAAGCTCTAGCAAAGGATGGGGACAGCCCCCTTTGACAGTGTCCAAAGAACTCTGTCCACTTTTCAGAGCTGGGAACTATTCTCCTGGTGATGACCAGCCCTCTGACTGCTACCTGGTGGCCCTGACTGGGAGGGTCAACATGTGTTTTGCTCTTTGCTGGGCCATTCACTTCTCTTGTAACCAAGTGGCAAAGGTGTTAAGTGGGAGCTTCTAGTACAGTAAGAGCTGCTTTCCAGGTTTTGTCCTCAAGGGCTGCTGTGCTTCCCATGCCATTCTGGTCCCCTGAGACAAAATCCCTGTTGTGAAGGGCTGCAAGATCCTGGAAACTGCCTGTTCCCATACAGCTGTAAGAGAGTGGATTTGACTTAATGGATCAGAGAATTAACCCCAGCTGGGGGTGCCAGGAAAAGGAACACCCTGGAGGAAAGCAGAGTGTTAGTAGGAAGCCTGGTTACAGCTGCAGGGTCTCCTTTTGCCTGCTCATGGCCTCCTGAGGTGCAAGAGGGCTGTTTCTCATGAGCAGGTCTCAGGGCAGCATGGGCATTGTGAAGCTTTTCTGGCCTTGACTGGAGGAACAGGGAAGATACAGCTTGTCTCCTCTGGGCAGTGTGTAAACACACTTATCTGAGCTATGTTAATAAATTGCCCAGTTGTTTGGAGGACTGCGCAAAGCATGTGACTTGACAGTGGGTCACAGCTGTGGGTTCCTGCCAGCTGGAGAGAGAGAATGCAGCTTTGCTGCTTGTGAGTGTGGAAAACAAGTGCCTCTGACTGATTTTTTTTTTTTTTCTTCCTGATTAAGGTGCAGCAAAGCAGTGATCCTTCTTCCTTCAGTTACTGAATAGTCAGTGAAATGGGTTTGTGTGGGGTTTTTTTGTTTTACAAACCACAGTGAAACAGATTGATGCTTAGACTCTTTAGGCAGGGGTGAGGTTTAAATGGCTGATCCTTAAGGGTTGGCATACCACCCTTCCTGAAGATCTTGAGGAGCATACCAGTGAAATAGTAGACAGGTATCCTGCAGACTTTCCCGAAGAGCCAGTGCTGCCAGGAGCTGCAGGCAAGCCCAGGAAGGTGGCTGGATTGGGCCACCTTGTGCTGTGTTCTCACCTAATCTGTTCCCCTCACCCAGTTTACCTGCATTCCCAGGGGATGCCATTGTCCACGGTGGCACTACTGCTGAGAGCTGCCTGCATCTATACAGCAGGGGTGTCCCTCTGCCAAATGGGGGTGGAAACAGGTTCAGAACACAGGTGCAGATTTTGAGTACAGTGCTGCTTCCGTCACCTGGAGCATTTGCTCCTGAGGGAGGATTTGGATGAATTGGCTGGGGCAAGGTATGACCTTTGTGTGCAGCAGGAGGGTACATACTCCTATGGGGACCATAGCTGCGTGTCCCCGTTTGTGTTCCTATGCTTCTGTTTTTCCTGTTAGTAACTTCCTTGTTAGGGGCTCACTTGCTTGAGCTGCTTTGTCATGTGATGATACAGGACTGCATTGACTCCCCAGTGCTTGTCCTCGCCCTTGCAGCATCCTTCTGGACTGACCCCAGCTGTGCTCACTACCTGTCCCCCTGCCACAGCAGGTGCTCAGGCTTTTAGGGAAATGATATTCAGACACTGTAACTCATGGCTCGGGGCTTTGGGTCAGCACAGGCAAGGCAGTTGACTTACATGGAACCTGATGAGATGCATCCTGGAGTTCTGAGGGAATTGGCTGATGTTGTCAGTTGTCCATATTTGAAAAGTCATGGCAGTCAGGTGGAGTCCCTCGTGACTGGAAAAAAGGAAATGTGGCAACTATTTTCAAAAAGGTTAGAAAGGAAGGTTCTGGGAACTACTGAACTGTCAGCCTCACCTGAGAGATGGGCCTGGAAAGATCATGGACCAGACCCTCCTAGAAGCTATACTAAGGCACATGGAGGGATAGGGAGGTGATTTGAGACAGCTAGCATGGCTTCACCAAGGGCAAGTGCTACCTGACCAACCTAGTGGTCTTCAGTGGTGAAGTGACTTATGAGTGGACAAAGGAAGAGCTATGGGTGTCATCTGTGTGGACTTCTGCAAGGCCTTTGACATGGTCCCCCACAACATCTGTCTCTAAATTGGAGAAATGGATTTGATGGGTGGACTGTTTGGTGGATGAGGAATTAGTTGGGTGGTCACATTCAGAGGGTAGTGGTCAACAACTCAATGTCCAGATGGAGATCAGTGACAAGTAGTGTCCCTCAAGAGTTCCATACTAGGACCAATGCTGTTTTAATGTCTTCATCAATGTCATAGTGGGATTGAGTGAACTATCAGCAAGTTTGCAAATGATACCAGGCTGGGTGGTGCAGTTGACACACCTAAGGGAAGGGATGCCATCCAAGGGGACCTGGACAGACTTGAGAAGTGGGCACAAGTGAACCTCATGAGGTTCAACAAGGCCAAGTGCAAGGTCCTGCAGCTGGGCTGGGGAAATTCCTGTTATCAGTACAGGCTGGGGGATGAGAGCAGCCCTGCCAAGAAGGACTTTGGATTACTGGTGAATTAAAAGCTGGACATGAGCTGGCAGTGTTTGCTTGCAGCCCATAAGGCCAGCTGTATCCTGAGCTGCATCAAAAGTGGTGTGGCCAGCAGGTTGAGGCAAGTAGTTCTGCCCCTCTGCTCTGCTCTGGTGAGGTCCCACCTGCAGTACTGTGTTCAGCTCTGGAGTCCTCAGCTCAAGAAAGACTTGTTGGCCAGAGGAGGCCAGAAAAATTATCAAAGGGCTGAATATCTCTCCTATGAAAAAAGGCTGTTAGGGGTCCTCAGCCTGGAGGAGAAAGGACTTGTGGAGGACCTTATTGCAGCCTTTCAATATTTAAAGCGGGCCTATAAGAAATATTTGGACAATCTTTTTGACAGGGCCTGTTGTGGTAGGCCAAGGTGTAGTGGTTGTGAACTAAAAGAGGGTAGATTTAGACTAGAAGTAAAGAAGAGATTTTCTTACAGTGAGGGTGGTGAAACTGGCACAGATTGACCAGAGGGTGGTAGAAGTCCCATCCCTGGAAATATTCAAGGTCAGGTTGGATGGGGCGCTGAGCAACCTGATCCAGTTGAAGGTGTCCCTGCTTACTGCAGGAGAGTTGAACTAGATGACCTGTAAAGGTCCCTTCCAACCTATGATTCTACAATTCGTTAGCATTTAAGCCTTCCACCATGACACTGTGTTTTGAAGCTGGCAGCTCTTGCAACAGCAATATGCTGCTGTGTTGCTGCTGCTCCAGTGGGAGTGACCACCTCTGGGAGCAGGCAAAGTAGAGAGCAGGAGCGGACTCTGAGGAGCCTGGAGTCTTAAACCGCTGAGAATCTCTTCAGACTACTGAGGTGTCTTTTTTTCCTTCCTGCAGATTGTCGCCAGTATACGAACAGGACCTGTGAGGAGTGTTTGAGAAATGTCAGTGTAAGTAACAGCAGTAAAACTTCCAACCTCTTGTGATGCCTGTAAATGTAGTGTGGTCTTTGCAGGGCTGTTACAGGACAGTCTTCCTCCTGAAAAGGGGGGCAGGCTCCCCTGCCCTTGTCCTGAGCATGCTGCAAATGCCACCCACCTGTGAGGGTGAGAGGGCAAATACCCCTTGGTGCTCTGGGAAGATGTTGCTTAGAAAATGCTTGGGTTTTGTTGTATACTTTTCAAGTCAAATAATGGAATTGCTGAACTCCAGTGTATGGATGGGAGATACTGTCAGGGGGACATGCATGGTGAGGGAACTGAGTGGCTGGTCCTCCACCAGTCTGTGCGTGCTGTGGCACTGGGTGGATGTGGTATGTGTACCATGTCCTGCCAACATCTACTGCCTTATCTCTGATATCGGCAAACTTGAACTTGAGTCAGATCTCACAGCTGACATAGCCAGAACCAGTTTGGTCAGAAGCAGTTTGACCAAACCCAACCGAATGCTGGTGTTGAGGGTTGGAGGAGATGAGGGTGCAAATCTGCTTCACGTAGTTTGGCTGGGAAAGACTAGTGATAGCACACACAAACCTCTCCTGCTCATCAGCTTTGTGCTGAGTGTCTTGTCTCAATGGATTTCTTCTTGTCCTAAAAATGCTGTGCAGAACAAATGTGAAGGGTTTGGTGATGACTACCGTCAGGCAAGCCAGGAGAAGGGTTCTCGGCCTAGAAATCTGCACTCTCCTTGCCTGCCTCTCTTGGTGCAAGCAAGCATCACACAACCTGTGCTGACCGAACACAACTGTTACTCTTGAGAATCCCATTGCTGTTGGGTGGTGCGTGGTCCTTCAGAGCAGATGGCAGTGGCCCTGTTGCTCCAGCTAACAAAGCACAGCATGGCTAACTGGCAGCACTGCTGTGCACCAACAACACTGTTCCTGTGTCCCAGTGCCTGTGGTGTGCCAGCAGTGGGAGGTGCATGGAGTATCCTGTCCGAAGAATCCTCCCCCCGGCTGACCTCTGTGAGCTGCAGTCTGCACGCTGGGGAGTCTGCTGGGGTAAGTGGATTGTGCTTGAGCAATGACTGCCTTTAGTGCTTGCTGCTAATTGACACCAACTGCCTCTCACGCCAGTGGTAATGGGACGTTTCCCTTTCCTCCTTTTCTTACTGATGGTGTAGCAATGACAGGCTGAAGTCAATAAAAGTTCTCCAAATTTCTTGAAGTGTGAGTGAGAAAGGGGAGTGTGAGCAGTTCCTGCCTTCTGGCAAGAAGGACCCATTGGGCTATAGCTACTTTAAATATATTCCTCATGTTTTGGTGTGATGTAGACTTCAAAGTGTGGCTAGTGCCTAGGAACAAGAGTTGAAGGTGCTCCATGGGCAGCTGTCCTGCACAATTCTTCCTGCTGCTCAGAGTGTGCACACCAATTTCTCACTTTTTGACTCTGCGCCCCATGCATCCTTCCTTGCATGGCTGTGGGCTCTTCAGCTTTAGCAGTATGGCTGCTGTCCCAGGCATGCTCTTAAAATTCACAGGAGCTCTTGGAACCAGAAATGGGATAGATGACTTCTGGAGGCCTGCATGGGCTTTTAATGCTGAGCATGCTGCAGTCCTGCTCAGATCTTACCTGCTTGAGAAAATAACCTTCTTCCCAAACTAGCCCTGCAAAAGCTGTGCTGCAGCTGGCTGCCTGCAGCCAGGTCACCTTCAGGAGCATTTTCTGGCTGATGGCTCTCTATTGGCTGCCTTTCCTCCTAGGTGCTCTGCTTCTTGGTGGGTTACTGGAGAAATTAGTGTCTTGTTTAGACCTAGCTCAGTGCATGCTCATGCTCAGACAGGAGTCAGCTTTTTGGGGGTCTGGGGCAGCTAGGAAGCAAGCTGGAGCTTGGTTTCTCTCACTTGTCCCCTTGATGGGGAACTTGGAGTTGAATTATGGTTGCCTGTCATTTATTGTGTTTGAGGCTTTGCTCTCTCTACCCATAAGAGTTAAAACTTCTCCCACACCTTCTGGAAGAAGAATCTCCTCTTTGTGAGTACTACAGTATGTTTTTCTGAAACTTGTGTAAGACCTTGAAATGCTAGTTTTTATGTGAGCAGCTTCACAAAAGGTTTCATTGTATAAGAATGTATTCCTTCACTTGTAAAACTTGCTTTAGAGATTAGTCCTGTGCGAGATTAGCTCTTAAATGAGTCTGCATTTTTGGGGGGTGTGTGTGTGTGTGTGTGGCTTAAGCTTTTATCATCAGGTGGAGTAGCACGTGGTGCTCTATTATGGACCTCTCTGGGAAGGGGTGATCGAAACCTCAGGTTCACCTTGTAAGCCAAGGATTCAGAAGCACCAATACAGATGTGCTGGTGGAGAAACTCCCTTTTGAACTGAAGAGCATGTTTGAGTTTGTCTCACCCCCATTGGGCTGACTTCTGATCCTTGGCTTTTGGGTTGTCCCCTACATTAATCCATGGGTTTGTTGCAGTGCAGCCAGTGAAAGCCTCATGTTGCTTTGAGACAAGACAGTGCTGTAGACAGTCAGAGCTCAAATACAATCTTTCTCAAAGCCTTACTGGGAATGTGAACTTGCAGACTTCCCTGCTGCTGGGTGACTGCTGGAAAGACTGCACCTGTGGGGAAAAATGCAAGTGTCTGCAAGCTGATGGCTTGCTAACTTCTGGGCTCAACTGGTGACTTGCTAGGTCGATACTCTGTCTGCAGCTGGTGTCTGGAACCACATTCCTTGCATGATGCTTGCCACAGTAGCCTAGGTAGGGACACAGTATGATTGGAGAGTCAGGTGGCACTGTTGTTGGCAGTGATGAAGCTCTCCACTGGGAGCAGGAGCTGGAGGCTTTGAAAGCAAGTTCAGTGGTGGAGTCGGTCTGGCCTGGAGCACCCCAGTAAGCCTGCTACTGCTGAGTCCTTGCACTGAAGGGACAGGCAAGCATCTTCTGAAGTGCCCTCAAATGCACCATGTGTGGTGCTCAGACTTTCCACTGGGCACATGGTCTGAGCCGCGTGGAGAAGAGGGGAATCAGAAGTGTTCTGAGAAGGCTCAAGTGCACTAGGATTTCTGTAACTTGGCTGCTGTGTGTGAAATGGCTACTAAGCAAATATTTTTGCAGACCCATGTCTGTGAATAGTCTGAATTATACCAGGAAACTTCTCTTTGCTGCAAAGGATTTCGGGTGATGTCTCGATGTATCTATTTCGGGTAGTGTCTCTACTGCTGTTGCTGCAAGAGCCAAATAAGACTGCTGCCTTCTGGGGGCTGTGGCTCAAGGCTGCTGTTTCAGCCACCATGTCCCAGTTTGTTTTGCCCTATGCATGGGTGAGCAGATGCCCCCAGGCCTTGGGGAGATGTGGTGGTGGTGTACATGAAGCAGCCCTTTGCCTTCAGCTGCTTCAGCATCATTGCTGGCCCCAAGCCTATAAATCCCAATGGATCTTGCCTCGCTTTGTCTCTCACCCAAGAACTCTAGACACCCATAAGTGCCTTCAGTCCACTGTTATCTAATCTTAGATGGCTTCTGTGACTGGCTCCTATGGGTGGTAACTTCAATGCCAAGCTGTGACCTCTCTCTTGGAGGTTGCTCCTCAGCACTGGTCTCTTTTTTTTTTTTTTTTCTTCCCCCCCCCCCCCTTTTTTTTTTTTTTCTTGATAGGTTACTGTTCATCTGGGCTAGTGAGTAACACACCTTTGCTCCTGTTTCTGCTGGAGGAGTTTGACCTGAGTGCATTTGTTCTTGACTTTCTCCATACAAGTAACTGGGCACTATAGTTAGCAGCTAGATATACGCAGTTGGCATACACATGCTGGTTCCAACACTTGGTATATTTATATATAATGATGCTTATCTTACTTTACCAGGTTGTTATGCATATCTCCAGTCCAGTGACTGAAGATGTTTGTGAAAATAGCTGTATGCTTGTGAACATTGTAACTCGAGGCAGACGTGTATTTATGTACTAAATGTGTTTTGTCAAATCCTTCAGTGAACTTTGAAGCCCTGATCATTGCAATGTCTGTGGTGGGAGGAACAATCCTTATCATGCTGGGGGTCTGCTGCTGCTGCTGTTGTAAGAAAAAGAGCAAAAAGCAAGTATCAGAGGGATTCCCTGTTTTCTTGGAGTAGCTCAGAAGCAGCCATGTGCTGTTCCAGAACTGACTGCCGAGTGCCATTAACGGGTTTTTCTATCTGTCAGGCCAGACAAGGATGACGAGAGAGCAGCCAGGGAGCGGGAGAAGAGGCGAGTGCGCCAGGAGGAGAGGTGAGTTTGCCCCACAGGCCCTGCTGCCCTGTGAGTAAGCCACACTGCCTTAGGCTGCAGGATGATCTGGCTCCTGCCTGTACTGTCAAATGTGATGCCAGGAGGCATATGGGGCTCGATACATGCAGTTAGTAACTGCTTCAACTGTAGCTCAAACATAAACCTCATTAGCAGCACCTTTCTGGGGTGACTCATGGATGCAGTGTTGTATATCTGACTCCCAAAGGGTTGTTGATGTGCATGGGCTCTGGTGGTCCCCAGTGCTTTGGGGGGGTGGGCAGTGTGGGGTCTGAGCAAACCTGGCAGCCCAGAGCTCCCTAGTTTGGGAAGAAGCAAGGAGCTGTAGCTCCTCTTGCTTGGTTTTGTATTGCCATTCACCGACTCATGCTTTTTCTGTTTGCTTCTTGCAGGAGAGCAGAGATGAAATCACGGCATGATGAAATCCGAAGAAAATATGGTACAGTGCTGACACGAGCAAATCAAACTAAGCTTTAGATTGAGCAGCCTCAATGACTGTGTTCCTTGCTGTCATTATAGCTGCAGGAAAAAAAACTGGCCAGTAGGGATAACACAGATGCTCCTTCCCCTGTCTCAGTGAATTGCTCTCTTGCCCTCTGGCAGCAAGTGAAGAGATGCTTGGGTCATGGTGTGTGACCCCACAAAAGTGCTGCTCCCTTCGGCAGGGAAGAGGGAGTGTTTAACACTTTCTGGGACCTGCATATTCCAAACTTATGTGGGAGAAGCTGCTGGAGTTTGACTGGACGGGAGAGGCAGAAGCTGATAGACATACCACCAGCTGTAAGGCTGCTGCCCTTCAGGCATGGCACTCTGGCAGCCCTGTGGTCAGTCCACAAAACACTCCGCTTGGAGAGTGGGGAGCCAGGTGCACACAGCTGCAGGAGCACAGATTGGGCACCGGCCTGACCACAGAGCTGGTTCTCTGAGCTAGCAGCAGTTCCCTGGGAGCCGGCTCAGTCCCATGGTGCTGGGGAGTGCACAGCCTTCCTCCTAGCGCTGGACTATCCTTCAGGTGAGTCCCATGGCCCTGAGTGGGTGAGGACCTGCCTGAGGGGGACAGGAGCCTGGAAGGAAGCAGGAAGCAGCCAGTCACTTGGAACTGGTGGAGGGGTCTCGTCTGTCTGCCTGCTGTGGGGGCTCTCCCAGGGTGGCCATGGTTCAGGGAGCAATCAGGCTCCTGCACATCGAGCATGATGATCTGTGGCAGTGGTGGGGGGCTGTAGGGAATGCAGAGACCCTTCTTTTGCCTGCAGCTGCTGTCTCAACAAATCTTTCTTCTCTTCTAGGCCTGTTCAAGGAAGAGAACCCTTATGCGAAATTTGAGAATTAGTATCTCTTGACCTGACCACCCCCGTGAACAGTGCCTTCCCACAGAGCTGCAGGACTCTACACTTCTCAGGCCATGAGGTGACCACCATGGTGCCACTTTCTGCTTCAGGTGCCACTTTCTGCTTCAGCTGCCACAGAAGATGAGCCAAATGCTTGGTGACACCATTGTCTTCACTCCAGATGCTTCATTTGCTCCAGAGCTTTGCTCTTGTTCTGCTGATGCAGGAAAACTTGGTGGAGGATGACATGTTTCTTCTTGGATGACATGTTTCTTCTCACACACCCCTGGGGTGGTAACAGTCCAAAGCAATGCAAATAATAATCCTGACCAAGGGCCAAAGCGACATCTTTCTTGCTCCTGCCTGACCAAATACCCTTCACACACACAGAGCTAGGTTCTTCTGTCTCTCCATTTATCTATTTTTCTTTTAGTATAGACAAAAGCGAGAAAGCTTCTTCATTTGTTGGTCAGCAGGAGGCCTTGGCTGTTACTCCAGGTGCCTATACTTGTCCCAGCACATTTGCATTCCTTTCAAAAAGCACAATTTTCTGGTTATTTTGGGCCTCCAGGAGGAAGGTCCCATGTGCACATTCTCACTTGCAACTAATCTCGTGAAATGCCCCGACTCTCCTACCTCTCTGTAGGATTCAGATGCATTTACAATAAGTTGACTATATATTAAACTGATTTGATTACTATCTTAGTCTGAGTGAGTTTAATTCTGATTCCACACCAGGTATGGATTGGCAGCGGTGGCTGATGGATTTGTCACTGTTACATGGTCCTAGTTTATTAGGCCCTGATAGGGGTAGCTGAGGAGAGCAGAAGCAAGGCTACCTTGAACTTTTAGTGGGCTTGAAAGGAAGAGTCTCTTCGTGGAGACATTCGTTAGGAAGAGTTGGGTGTTGGAAGTAATGTTGCTCTCTGAGAAAGAGCTGGTCTTCCTGCAAGAGCTTGTCCTGTGTCCCCTAGCAGCCTTGAGAGTCCTTATTTAAATGGGGTGGACTCAGGGCTCCTGGCAGTGTTGGGCACAAAGACAACCTTGCACCGTGCTACCTGCTTAAGGGATGCGCGGTGGGGAAAGGAGGAGGGGAGCTGACTGCTCTTACATGGTCCTATATTTGGCAGAAATTGGCTTTGCTGCGTAAAGGAGCCTTGCATGTAAGCAGCACACATAACTTGTCTAAGGAGAGCTGACTTGCCTTTTGCCAAGTGGGGTGACTTGCTCTGGGCTGCAGGTGGTAGCATTTCTGTGGGCTTGTGTAAAATGCTCAGTTTGTGTTGCCCGGCTGTGCTGGTTTGTGCTAAACCAGAATGAATTATTTAGTGATTTTACTTTTCAGCTAAGTCTATTCTGAGAGACTGCATTGTCTGAAGTTAACGGCACGTTTTTGCAGACAGCATCTGCTACTGGAAGTGATAACACCTGATGTTTACAGTTACTCCCAAGGACTTGTGTGCAGAAAGGTTCTTGCTTATACTTGCTCCTGTAGTAACTAAGGTCACTGCTGAATCTTGTGCACCACACTGCAGGTGCTGAGAAGTAGAAGGGTAACAAGGAAGTAAAGTTGCACCTCCAGGGAGGAGCAGACAGGACAGGTTACCCAAACCACACCAATAAAGCATTCCATTCTGTATGTATCATATTCAGTATAAAGCTGAGGTGTCTGGACTTACCAGCTCTCTTTCAGTGGCCAGTGTCTGTGGAAGACTCCATCCATTCTTCTGCCTTCGATCCTGATCTCTATTTCTGGATCCAGCTCCAGTACCCGGTTCCCTTCTGCCACTGAGCCTGGGACTCCCCCAGTGCTGCCTGCTCTGCAGCATCAGTGGTGATTGCTATTGGAAGGGGAGTCAGGTTTGATACTGGATTTGTATGTTTGTATGTAGTTCACTATTTTTATTATTTCCTTATTATTTCTAGTATTGTTTCATTAAAGCTGTTTTAGTTTTCTAACCTCTAAGTCTCTCTGCCTTATTCCATTTCCCTTCCTGCTTTGAGGAGAGAGAGAGGTTAGAGAGCATCTGTCAATGTTCAGTGGCCAGCCCAGCCCTAATGCTTGACAAAGTCCTATTATTGTTTTATTAAAGCTGTTTTCTTTTCCAGTCTGCAAGTGTCTCTGCCGTACTCCCTTTTCCCTTCCCATTTGGAGAGGGAGAGGGGTTATTAGAGAGTATCTGTCATTGGTTTAGTGACCAGCCCAGCCCTAAACCTTGACAGGATAGGCTTACAGCCTTTGGACACAAATTGCTTGAGCTGAACTTCTGAAGCTAAACAAGCTGTGTTGCTGCTGCCTGAGCTGTGTGGGGGCTGTCAGAATCTGGCTAGCTTTTTGCCAGGATGGTCAGAGATGTAAGACATGCAGGTGACTTCTAATCTAGGCTGTCTCTGGCTGCTGCCAGGAGATACATGGCTTCAGGTGATGGGAACTCTGCCTATGTTGAATAAGCATCTGGTCCATAACCTGAGCTCCTGTTACTGTGAACCAGGCTGCAGTGCTGGGAGGAGGGCTGAAAGAGTAAGGTAGGGTTGGCAAGCTCTCATGGGTTCTCTCTCACCTTCTGTCAAAGTCTGCTGGACTGGCTGGCATGGGCTGTATCCCAGTGCTGCCAGGCAAGAGCTGGAGGAGGTGGTAACAGCATTTTATCCAGCTGTGCATGGCTGGGAGATCATGCTTTAAAGAAATCTTCAATGATCTGTGTTTGTTTGGAGCTCCTTGTGTAAACTCCTCTGTGTGCATAGAAACAAAGTGTGGAGCCCTGTAAGGAGAAGTAAAAATGTCAATAAGGATTCTGGTTCTGCCCTGTGTTCATTGAGTATGCTGGCCTGGAGGGGCTGTGGTTCCCCTGCAAACCAAAGGTACGGAGGACCCTGTGGAAGCTTTGTTTAAGAACAAGTAATGTATGGGGGCATATGGTGCTAAACTGCAAAGCTGTTAGAGCTGTCTTTACCCCTCTTGGGGTCTGAGGGGCTCTGGGTCTTATCCTGCCCTGGTGATTGGGACCATTATAATTCCTTTAGGCTACCTGAGTGCTTCCACTGGCCCTGTTCCCAGCACTAAAAGATGGTGCCTCCAAAACCAGCAGAGATAGGGGACTCCTGCAAGGAGGTTCACTTTTGCTGGGACTCATGTTACAAGGCTCTGTCCTTCTCTGCTGAAGCAGGGCAGCAAAGGGACCTGCTCCAACCCAGGCAACCAAATCCCTGCCTGGATGGAGCATAATCATGCCCTGGGGACAAGTAGAGGGCATGCTGTGCTGCATGGGCAGCACCCATTATTGGCTGGGCAGAAGTGTTGTGTCTTCTGCTTGCATCTTGGGCTCCAGCGTCCCCAGCCCAGCAGCTGCCTTCCACAGCCTGTGACAGAGCTTCTGTTAAGTTCTGTAATTGCTCCTGTGAAGGTTGCTCTGTGCAGGTATCATATGGCTGATGCACTGCAAAGTGGTGATACCTTGGTCCCAGCTGGCCCATGGTGGGGAGGTGAAACTGGTTCCTTGGGTGGCTGAGATGCCTGCTCGGCTCTGGGAAGAAACATGCCTGCACTGTAATTGAGAGCTGAGCTTGGCGTCTAAAAAGATCTTTTGTATGGATTAATTTTTCCTTTGAGAGGCTGCTGCACTGTGATGGCTGCCCCATTCGGGGCAGGGCGAACAGATGGGGATGCACGGCTGAGGTGTGGGGCAATGGGTGCTCAGAGCATGCATGAAGGAACTTGGAGAGATGGGGTTAATGTGGTGTAAGGGGAAGCTTGTCTTTGAGCCACAGGACAGTCGAGCATACAGGGTGCTACATAAATCATGCTGCTGCTTTTGGGGGACAGCCTTGCACAAAAAGGTGAGACAGAGCTGGTGCTGGGCTGGCTCCCAGGGCAGGGCATGGCTGTAAGCGCACAGGTGGCACAAAGAGCCGGTGCCCTGAGGGAGATGGAGGTTTGAGGGAAACTCTCCTTTCCTTTCCTGGTCCTGCACACCCCCATGCTGTGGA